AAAAAAAAAAAAAAAATCCCAGGATACATGCACAAACAATTCTTTTTTTTTTTTCTCTTGGGTACCAGGGATCAAACTTGGGTCCTTCCACTTGCAAGGCAAGTAGCAGAACCACTGAGCTAAATCCCCAGCCCACACAAACAATTCTTAAAGCCTTGCATATGGACTTCTCACGAAAACTCCAGCAGGGTTTTGATAGGATGGCCTAGACCTGATGCCAGCCTGAGGAGTGGGAGATACAAAAAAGATGATCCACTACTGTGTTTTCTCAGAGTAGGTCACTCTCTGACTATTATTTGGCCCAACCTCACTCTGCAGAGCCTGTTTCTTTCCTTTCTTTAATACATATAAAACTGCTACTCTTTGCTCTTGTCTTGACCATGTCTTTGCTCAGGACAGAAAGAACCTAGAGATCACCTCTAGGAGGAAACTCCAGCACTCCTAACCCTAGTAAGGCAAGTGCTGGGGTCCAGCTGTGTGCTGCCACAACCAGCAACAAGGCTAATCTTTATCTGACTGGACTCAGAACTCATGCTGAAAATCTGCCTCTAAACCATCGATAGCAAATTATATAACATCCCTGCTGCCTAAGGCAGGAGTGCCAGCTGAAGAAAAAAAGAGGCTGACCATAACACTTAAAAGGAATATCAGGAAATAGGGCTTTGAAAAGCTCTGACATATTTCTCCTTATTTATAAAAGCATTGTTTCCATTGTTTCCATTTTCACTTTTTTTCCTAGTCCCTTCTTTCCTTTCCCTCTCCCCCTCCCTTGTTCCCCTTCTCATTTGAACATTTTCTTCCCATTTTCCAATATCTATTATACATTTCAGTCCTTATTTCCACTTTCAGTTTCTCACAGTAGAGAAATAATGGGGTATTTAAACGTGTGTTCGATTTATTTCACTTAAGAGTATGCTCTCAAGGTCCATCTATTTAGCTATAAATGTTTCAAGTTCATTCTTCTTTATTATGGCAGAGTAGTACATCATTGTATTAAAAAAAACCCCACATTTTCTTTCTCAGTTTTGTTTTTTGTTTTTTGGTACTGGGGATTGAACTCAGGACCTTGAGCTTGCAAGGCAGGTACATTACCACTCAGCTAAATCCCGGCCCCCATATTTTCTTTATCCATTCATCGGTTGATGGGCATTTGGGCTGTTTCCAAGATTTAGCTATTGCAAATTGTGTCATTATAAACATGGGTGTGCATATATTGCTGTGGTATGATGCTTTTAATAGCTGGGTCAAATGGAACCTCTAGTTTTAGTTTTTTGAGGAATCTCCACACTGATTTCCACAGTGGTTGCTCCAGTCTACACTCCCACCACAGTGGAGAAGGGTTCCTTTTTCCCCACAGCCCCACCAGTATTTGCTATTAGTTGATTTCTTGATAACCCCCATTCTTTCAAGAGTGAGATTGAATCTCTATGTTGTTTTAATTTGCCTCTCTCGAATAACCAGTGATGTTGAACATTTTTTCATGTATTCATTTGCTGTTCCTACTTCTTTATTGAGAAGTGGATTTTTGGATTGGGTATTTAAATTTGGGGGTCTAGGTTTTTTGAGTTCTTAATATATTCTAGATAGTAGTCTTTTGTCTGAGGAACAATGGCAAAATTTTTCCCACACTGTAGGTTGGTTCTGACATATTTCTCTCTCCTCCCTTCCCCCTTTTCTTTAATGACAGGCTGTGTAGTTCAGGCCGGTCTTGAATTCATTATATGTCCCAGCCTGGCCTTGAACTTGTGGTGATCCTCCTGCTTCTGCCTCCCAAGAGCTGGGATTACAGGTGTGCAGCAATATGCCTGTTTTTTGTTTGTTTGTTTGTTTTGGTTCAGTTTTGTAATTCATATGATGTAAGGAATCTATTCATTTCTTCTGAATTCTACAATTTATTGGCATACAGGTATGCAAAATAGTTGCTAATAATCTGGTTTTCAGCAGTGTCTCCCGTGATTTCATCTTTCTCATTTCTAATTGTATTGATTTGGATCTTTTCTTTACCTTTTTTTTGGTAAGATTGGCTAGGGGTTTGTCTATTTTGTTTATTCCTTCAAGGAACCATCTCTTCCATTCATTGATTTTTTTGTATTGTTTTTAAAATCTCAATTTCATTGATTTCTGCTCTGATCTTTTTAATTTTCTTCCTTGTACTAGCTTTGGGTTTGTGTTGTTCTTGTTTTTCTTTGATCTTGAGGTGTATCATTAGGTTATTTATTTTGATAAATAACTATTTTTTTGATGTGGGCATTCACAATTATAAGCTTCTCTCTTAGGACTGCTTTTCTTTCCCATAAGTTCTTGTATGTTGTACTGGAATTATTGTTCAGTTCTAGGAACTGTCTTATTTCTTCCTTGATTTCTACTGTAACCCATTGATCATTCAAGAATGTATTGTTTAATTTCCATGTGTTTGCACAATTTCTGTGTTTTCTTTTTCCATTCATTTCTAGTTGCACTGTGCTATGATCTGATAATATATATGGCATAATTTCAATTCTTTTTTTTTTTAATTTCAATTCTTTTGCATTTACTTAAGCATGCTTTATTGGCTAGTTAAGTGTCTATTTTGGAGAAAGTTCCATGTGCTGCTGAGAAGAATGTGTACTCTGGGTGGAACACTTTATAGACATCTATTAAATCCATTCATTCAAAAGTTTAGTTTAACTTTGATATTTCTTTGTTGATTTTTTTTTGTCTAGTTAATCTATTTGTGACAATGGGGTATTGTTCCCCTCCATAATTGTGTTGATGTTTTCCTTTAACTTTTTTTGGGGGGTGGTGGTGTTGGGAATTGAATCTAGGGCCTCCTCATATGCTAAGCATGCATCAATCACTGGGCTACATCTCCAGCCCCTCTTGTGTTGATGTTTATGTGATATTTTACATCCAGTAGTACTTGTTTTATGAAGTTGAGTGTGCCATTGTTCAGTGCATATATATATATATATATTTTTTTTTTTTGGTACCAGGGATCAAACTCAGGTCCTTGCCCTTGCACAGCAGGTGGCGAAACCACTGAGCCAAATCCCTGGCCCTCAGTGCATAAATGTTAACAATTGTTAACTCTTCCTGTTGAGTTGTTTCCTTAATCAGTATGTACTTTGGTTTGCCTCCTCTGATCAGTTTTGGCTCAAGGTCCACTTTGTCTGAAAATAGATAGCTACTCCTGCTTTTTTTGTGGGGGATGGGTTCCCAGTGCATGGAATACTTTTCTCAGTTTTTGATTTTTAGTCTATACATTTCTTTTTGGGTTAAATGTGTTTTTTGTATACATACAGCATACCATTGTATTTTGTTTCTTTCTCCATTCTGCTAATTTGTGTCTTTTGATTGGAAATTGGGACCATTTACATTGAGAGTTATTCCTGTCATTGGATTATTTTCCTGTTGCTGATTCCCTTTCTTTGCTCTCTACTTAACTGCTCACCCTACCTGATGTATTCATTCTATTAAATCTTTTGTCACTGCTTAGCTTCTTTGTCTCTTTTCTGGATATTGTTATAGTTTATATCTAGATGTCCCCCTAAAGCCTCATGTGCCCATAGGATTGTGAGATACTGTTATTTATCTAGACTTCAGATAATTTTTATTTTTCTGCACCCCAGAGTAAATCCCTTGACTTCTTCTTTTTCTAATCCCTTGACATCTGTGTCTTAACTTCTACCTGACTGCTTACAAATTAATCTGATAGCTGTCATTCAAGTCTATTCAGTAAGCACAAAAGCTTTTCCATAGCTCCAGTCATTTTTCCCATTGTTGTATAGTGGATCCCAGTAACATCACCCTAAAGCTGGGATTCTTCTCTGTGAGGCCTTTTCTCCATCAAGCTGGCCTTACCTGAAGAAACATGGAGAAACTAAAAACTTCTGATTCCTTTTGGAGATGAGAAATTGTCCAGATATTGGTAAATGTTAAGTGTGGATCTTGGAATAAATGAACATGTGAAGAGACAAATGGGAATGATTAAACTGCCAGACTCATGGAGCCTTGAAGAAGATGGGGTATGGAATAGAAGGATGAGCAGAAGAACTGAGTAGGGACATTTCATTTTGTGCTTACCAGAGTTTTATCTGCCCTGTGCCTTGGACAGCGAGCTTTGGGGACAACCAAGCACTTGGATCTGTTGCCCACTTAGGGAGACGGCAACTCAGACACACTTGTGTATGCTCCCCAAAGTAAAGGAGGCTCCCTTCCCAAGGACGGAAGGGTGACAAGGGCAATTAGGAGGCTCGGCAGGTTTGTATGAAAGGAAAGAGGCATATATCTTTTTTAAAAGATCACTTTGACTCCCGTGGGTCAGGTGACTTAAAGTGGAAGAAATTAAAGATCTGACTCTAAATATAGAACTGTAGGAGGTAAATTCTAGAAAGGATTTTGGAAGGACTCTTGCCAGGCCTTAGCAATCAACTGTAGGTGGGTGTGGTGATGGAGAGGAATGGGTCTCTATTATTATGTCTCAGGTATTTCAGTGATGGAGCCCAAAGGCACAGATTTGTTGGCAGTGGGGATGAGGTGAGAGCAGGTGAGGTGAAAGGGTGAAGGGAATAGAGAGAGTGTCACTTTTGCCAGTAGCCTCCCTTTGACCCCTAGGGTGTGTCTGGTTGATAGTTCCAACATAGGGCACTTTTATGTTTTCCACAGGTCCAAGGGTCTTTGTGTATTTTGAGAGATAAGGTGGAGTCTGGTGCATTCACACAAGGACAGTTGAGGGGCTAGTATCAGGATGGGCAGAGGCGGAATGGATTTTGGAGAACAGGGAAGAAAAAAGTCTGAGGAAGCAAAGCTGTTTAAAAACCAGTACTCTTTCCATTTCTGTATCATTTAACCAAATGCTATTCTGTGGGTTTTGTCACTTGATTCTCACACCAATCTGAACTCAGCAAGACTGGGTCATTGCTGACCCTAGGGCTAACAGGGTTTCTAGGCTGGTGTTTCTAATGCTGAGCACTTGCTAACACAAGATGAGGGCTCTGTGAATCCCCTCCCTTTTTGAGAACCAAACTATTTAATTCCTTGTCATAGACAAAGCCCAGACAGAAGGTGAGGGCACATGGTATCTCCTTAAACTTGGGGAGGACTCCTCCAGTGCCTCCAGGTTCCCTTCTGAGCCCTCCAAGTCTGGGAGTGAGGAAGCCCCCACCCCCCAACCTTCACTACTCCAGCCTCAGGGAGCCTTAGGACTCCAACACTGAAGGAATAGGGTCTGACCTCATCTTTTGCTGTAGGGGTGGGGAGACTGAGGCAGGCAATGAAGGAGCCATCCTGGATGGACTTCTTTCCCAAAGGCCTTGGTCTCTCTAATCATAGATTCCTCTGCAGGGACCGAAGAGATGGCTTGGAAATGGACACCACTTCTGCTTCTTCTGGCCTGGACAGCCAACATATTGCAGCTCCTGGTACAGGGCAGACCTGGTCAATGTATGGATATCAAGCACCACAAGGTGAAGCCAGGTCCTGAGCTTAACCTGTAGGACCAGATCTGGTTGGAGCTGAGGTCTGGTTGGGAACAGGGCTGGTTCTGAGAGGGAGAAGGAAGTCGGTGTGATGAGGGCCAGGGTGGCCAGAAATCCTCACACCCTGATTTACTGCTGTGGGAAAGGGTGAAGGTGTAGTTGGGAGAGTAGTTAGGTGATTGTAGGGGTACCTTCTTCAGAAGAGGATATCAGGTCGGCAATGATATTGAGTAATTATTTACTGAACTCCTATTAGGTGTTGTCTATTTTCTGTACATGATTTCACATTTCAATAGTTCTCTGACACAGGTAGAAGATATTCTCCACATTACACAAATAAGGGAAATAGAAGTCCATGGAAACACACCGATCCTGACAGGAGTTTGACCTGACAGGAATAGTTTGACCATGGGGTAGGGGAAGAATGGGGTACCAATTCTATGGAATGCCAAAGGCAGAAGAAAGGAAGGCCCCTTGTGACAGTGACACAGTGCATTATGGGGCTGTACATTCACAGAGCCTATAAAAATGTATGCCAGTGCCTGGGTGTGTAATCCCAGAGACTGTAATCCCAGAGACTCTAGAGGCTGGGACAGAGTTGTGGGCTGCCCAAGCCCAGCCTGGGCAACTTAGTGAAAACCTGTCTCAAACAAAAAAATAAAATAAAGAGGGCTGGGAATATAGCTGAGTGTAGAGTGCTTACCTAGCATGAATAAAGCCCTTGGTTCAATCCTCAGGGACCTCTTTCCCCACCAGTTTTTTTTTTTTTTTTTTTTTTTTTTTTGGTACTGGGGATCGAACTCGGGTCCTTGTGCTTGCGCAGCAGGTGGCAAACCACTGAGCTAAATCCCCAGGCCCCCACCCCCCAGTTTTGTCAGTGAATTGCAACCCTGTTAGATTCAATGTCTTCTTTTTATGACAAAAAAAAAAAATTTAGACCTGTTGTATTCTGGAATGAAACTCAAGGCTAATAGAACCTATTTGTTAGATATAATTAAAGATATCAATGTAATGCTGTATTTATAATACAAAGGAGAAGCAAAGAGAAAATACAGGTGCTCCCAGTATTACCATGGGGATATGTCCTGATAAATCGATCCTGTGTTGAAAATATTGCAAGCCCATAATGCACTTAATATGCCTCACCCCTCAAACCTCACTCACTGCTTAGCAACCCAGTGCACTGAGCATGGGTTGCTGCCTGGTGTGACTGCGTGGCTGACCGGGAGCTTGGCTGCTAGACAAGCTACATTGTGAGGTGGTGGAGTACACAGTGCTAACCCAGGAAAAAAAATCAAAATTCAAAATTCAAAGTACAATTTCTGCTGAATGTGTATTACTTTGGTGTTGTCATTAAAAAAATCTTAAATCAAACCACTGTAAGTCAAAAACCATCTGTAATTTATAATAAAATAACATATATTTCACTATGTCAGTCCTTTGATACATTAGAAGACATGAGGAAATAGCATGCTTGCTTCTATCTGCAAAATCATTATGAACAAATAAAGACTGAGACAGGTGTGTTCTATTGACAATGTAAATGCTATAAGATGCTCTAAGCAGGGTTGCCATGGATGAACTAATTTCCTAAACAGTGAATAACTCTAGTGAAATAAAACACATAATACCACCTTCCATTTCAAGGTATTTTCAGTCCTGGAAAATTTAGTCTACCTTAGAAGCTTCTGAAGATACATGTCCATATGTAAAATGAAGTTAGGTTTGAACTTAGGAAATCATTAGAGGTCTCTCATTCATTTTTTTCAAAAAATATTTTTTTAAATCTATTATATGTCTGGCTCTGGCCTAACCAACTGGAGATACACCTTAATGCTTACCAAGAAGAGTTAATTTATTTTTATTTTTTTAAGAAGAGTTAATTCATTCAAACTATATTTTATTCAAACTGTTTTACTTCATGGTTCATTCCCTCTCCCCTTTTGTCATCTTTCAGTGAGGTTTTTTTTTCCCAACCACAGTGTTTAAAATTTCAACAATCGTCCTACACTTCCCCTTCCTATTCCTTGCTCTAATTTTCCACACATCATTTATTATATACTGACATATCATATTTTTTCTTTTGGTTTCTTATTGCTTGTCTCCCCTGACTACAATATAAGGTCTATAAACACATATTTCTGTCTGTTTTGTTTTTTCCTGTATTCTTTTTTTAAAACTTCTTTTCATGTATTTATTTCCCATTTCTGCTTCTGTATTCTTAGCATCTAGAACAGTGTCAGACATATAGTAGGTGCTCAAGGGGCTGGGGATTTAGCTCAGTGGTTTCGCCACCTGCTGTGCAAGCACAAGGACCCAAGTTCGAACGCCGGTACCAAAAAACCCCCCAAAAACAGCAGGTGCTCAATACTTTTTTTAAAAAAAATAAATGAACACATGAAAAGACTTTTTCTAAGGTGCAAAAGCTGTATAAATGATAGCGATCATTCCTAGGACAGGGTTCCCTTAGACTGTTACAGTCCCCTTGGATGGGGAATTCTGGAGGCCAAGAACAGAGACACTCAAGAAGGGAGTGTTGGCAAAACAATCTGCCTAAGGCAAGGGAACAAAATTTGAAAGGAGCTAGAAGGGTGGGTTGGGGATGCTTAGTCCTTGTCTTCCCTTCCCAGTGCAGCTCCTGGACCAACACCTGCTATTAAGCCAGCACAACCCAGTAACTACACAAGAAACCCTCCTACCTGTACAATTTTAACTGGGATCACTGCAGCAAGATGGAGCCCACTTGCCAGAGACACTTCATGGGAGACAGCTGTCTGTATGAGTGCTTGCTCAACCCGGGATGCTGGATCCAGCACATAACTGTGTGCTCCTCACCCCACTCCAGCAGGCTGTCCTCTGGCTCAGTCCGTGCAAGGTCATGACTGTCAACATCCCACTCCATCCAGGTGGACTCAAGCTTTCCCAGAACACTTTTAGTGGGTGGACCCTTATGCAAAGATGACTGTCAGCGCTGGTGGGAAGACTGGGGCACCTCCTACACCTGCAACACAGAATGGCCACAAGAGCTGGAACTGGACCTCAGGTGAGGCCTGGGGTGAGGAGATAGAGGAACTAGTTGGAAAAGGGAACGTTCAAGATTTAGAGTTGGATGATTTCTAGGGTGGTCAAAAATGAGCTTTGGGCCCAGAGCTGCATGTCTGTGTCCACAATGATTCTCCCTGCAGGAATTAATAAATGCCCAGCCTGAGCTGTCTGCTGCACATTTGAGTCCTGGTTCCTCTGCCCAGACAACTTTTGCGAGTTTATCTGGTGTTTTCTCCTACAACATCAGCAATTACATCCCAGGGAGTGGCCACTGTGTCCAGATGTGGTTTAGCCCAGCAGGGCAACCCCAGTGAGAAGGTGGCCAAGTTCTATGCTGCCATGAGGGCTGGGGCCAGGCTCCACGGGACATAACTTTTCACTCTCAGCTTGTCCCTGATGCTGCCACTCTGGTTCCTTGCCTGAGTCCAGACCTACCCTTTGCCTGGCCCCAGCTTGGACAACCAGGCTGGGCTCAGCTCAGCTTTCACAAATGAGGGAGCCCAAGCCTGTCTACATCCATTAGCCACCCCTCTGCCACTCAGTTTCTGCTCTATGGTAGGGGCTAGGCTTTTTCCAACAGTCAGTTCTAACAAATCTGTGACACATCTGTGCCTGAGGAATTATTTTGGCTGTGAATTTGTTGGGAGCCAGATCCTCATAGCTTTTTTTTTTTGGTACTGAGAATCGAACTCTGGACCTTGCACTTTCGAGGCAGGCGCAGTGCCATTGAGCTAAATCCCTGGCCTTTTTTTTTTTTTTTCTCCAGACAGGGTCTCATTATGTAGTTCGGGCTGGCCTTGAGGCATTCTTCTTGGCTCAGCCTCCAGAGCTGGAATTACAAGCCTGTGCCACCACACCCAGCTCTTTTACTATTTTTGTAAACGTGAAAACAGTTATGAACTTTAGATTCCTCCTCAATAAATTGGGGATAGGGCCGGGGATTTAGCTCAGTGGTTTCTCTGCCTGGTGCACAAGTGCAAGGACCGGAGTTCGATCCCCTGTACCAAAAATAAATAAATAAATTTAAAAAAATAAATTGGGGATAATAATCCTTCCCTCAGACTTGTGAAATGTAAAGGAGCTGTTACCTAGGTAGCATGTAAGCCTTGAGCCTGTATATGAATAGTCCTCAGGGAGCCTGTTGCTCCTCTGACCCCAAATGAGAGCCAAGTTCAGGACTTATTTATAATGGTTTCCAGCCCCGCCCTCCCCCCAACTGTGCTCAGCTCTGCAATGGGAAACGTGGGAATGGGAGTTCTGGGAAGGCTCTGGATTCTGTGATTCTCAGTGGGTGGGAAAAGGATTGCACACTGTTAACACGATGTGGATTGGAAAGGCAGAGTTGGGATTTGAGACCCTCAGAGGGGGAAGAGAGCCAACTGGGGAAGACAATCTGGATGATTCCTGAAGAAGAAACATTCAGGAGCCTGGAACTGGCCCGGGGCTGTGTTCTGGAGGTAAGGCTAGAAGAGTGTCTTAACCCTTATGGGCTTCCCAGAGGCAGAAACCAGGGCTTGTCCCCCGAACTGGTAGATTTGCTGATTTTGGAGGGTTGTTCTATTTTTGTACAGCCCTAAGGAACTGGGCCTGAGTTAAGTCTTTCTTCACAACCCTACCACAGCTGTCGGGAGAGGCATGGAGGATGGCCCCGCTGGCACTAGAGCCCAGGCGTCCAGACTCCTAGTGCAGGTCTCTCTCTGCCCCACCAGTATCGGAGACAGGTAAGTTAATTAGATATCTTGTAGGCAGTTAGACAGGGCCAGCCCACAAGGAGCCAACATGGAGGTGAGTGAGGACACATTCACTGAAGGCCAGCATTGTAAAAGGAGAGAAATTAGCACACCCATTAGGATGAATAGCAGTGATTGATATTCTAAGTAGGTATCAATCACCTGGCTGGGGGGCCAAGGTTTTAACCCAGCCTCTCCAGGAAATATCCCTGACCATCCTTATTGAAAATCCTTGTATGCTTGCTTTGTGACTTGCTCCTCCATTTGACCGATATTACCTGGGTGACTGTACTTGTTTTTGCTTTTTTTTTTTTTTCTTTTGGTACCGGAGATCAAACTCAGGTCCTTGCGCTTGCACAGCAGGCGGAGAAACCACTGAGCTAAATCCTTGGCCCTTGGGTGACTGTACTTGTAATCTTACTGGTTGGTCATGGTTTTGTCCCACCTCATGACCACCTTATAAATTTCCATTGGGTCTTATAGTTTTGCCTCACTTTGTACCCGGCTCACCACACGGCTTTACTGTATGAAACATCCGTGAAACGTGAGGTGGGTGGGCAACCCTCTTTCCGGTCCCCCTTCTGTTTCTCTTAGGCAGAAGCTTTCTTTCTCCCAATATATTTTTCCTACTCTTAACCTCCATTGTTCCTAGAATTCATTCTTCGATTTTAGAGAACACGAACTCGAGTTTCGGATATCTAGCAGGTTTGGGAGTTATAGTTCTTCCCCCTGTATCACCCGGACACCCTTAACCCCAAGCTCATCCCCCCCCCCTTTTTTTTGTACCGGGGCTCGAACTCGGGACCTTGAGCTTGCGAGGCAGGCGACGGTACCACTGAGCTAAATCCCCAGCCCTCATCATCCCTCTTAATGACGGAGGAAGTTTGGCACAGATTGGAGGTTGAATTATTTGGTTCCTGGTGGCATCTAGAAACACCAGTCAGTGGTGGATCTTTTAATTGTACTTATCTAGTCTGGAAGGCGCCACAGACACCACCCCTCCGTCCCCCCGCTTTGTGGCAGCTGGGTTAAGCCAATGCCACTTGAAATAGGGAAAGGTCCCCAGGACCTACCCGGGCTCAGTCTACACGTTCAATTTAGCAAAGTGAAAGTTCTTTTCCAGATTAAAGGGATGGTCGACAGCCTCCTGGGAGTTGGAAGCTATGGGTCACCGGCTAAAGGCCTGCGCCTTTAAGGAGCTAGGGGGCGGAGGGGCGGGGCAAGAAGAGGACTCCTGGGAGACGCCGCCACAGGCTAGGTCTTTTCTTGGGGGTAAGGGGGGGTAGACCCCCTGTGGGCTCCGCCCCCTTTCCGGCGGCCGCGGCCCCCTTCCGCCCTGAGGGTAGGCGGGAGCTCCCTCCTCGGCTTCTTGCCCTCGGAGGCGCAAGTTTGTTGACTTGGAGGGAGTAGCAGGGGCGGGGACGGTGCTAATAATACCCCTTCGTTCCGCTGCCGCGCTTTACAGTTTACACAGCTGTCACCTTCGTTACTCCTTAATTAATAATAAAATTAGCCGCCGCACTCCCTGGATGCCAGGCCCAGTGCCGAGTGCTTTACAAGCAGAGTCCCATTGAGTCTGCCCCCATAACGTTATCCCCATTGCATAGACCGGGAAGCCGAGGCTGGGGAGTGCTGGGACTCGCCTGAGGTCACTCGGCGGGTGAGCGGAGGCGGGCGCGGGGAGAGCCGCGGGGGCGGAGCGGCGGGCGGGGCGGAAGGCGCGGGGGTGCGGCGGCGGCGGAGATGGCCATCTTAAGTGGCCGCCGAGAGTCCAGGGCTGCGTCCCCGAGCCGGAAGGCGCCCGAGTGGCCCCTGAGGTGGGGTCTGCTGCGGCAGCCATGGCGCCGGGGAGAGGCTGTGGGGTGGTGGGAACTCCCTCCTAGATGGGTCTGGAGGTCCTCCTGGTCTTGGACTGCTGAACCCCAAGGCCCGGCCTGCGGGTGTGGGGAGTGGGTGCCGAGGAACTTGACCGGGGTGGCGGAGCGCTGCCGGGCTAGGCAGGCTGCCGGGGACCGAGCGTGAGGGTTTCGAGGACCCTGGACCTCGTCTGGGGGCGGGGTGTGGGGATCCCTCGCGGGATTTATCCGGGGACAGACCCAGAGGAGTTTGGGGGTTCAAGTCTTAGAAGGGATTGGATTTGAAGGGAGTTGGATGGTGGAGGGAGAGGCTCAATCTGAAACCTTCCTTTGAAAACCCCAATGCTGTGAGTCTGTAGGGGCGCCGAGTGGAAAGGATTTGGGGTGGAATCAGACTTTTATGGGGTCTAGGGGGTCATCTCATTGCGAGTATTGAGAGTTGAATTGTCCCTGGGGTGCCGGATCACCGGAGTGCCCGGGCGCAGAATGGGGGGACTTGGACTTCGTGGGGGGCTTGGGGACTGCTTATCCTCCGAGGGGATGCAAGACCATTGTGGGACTTGGGAGGCGTCGTCCCTGCGAGCGGAGGGTGGGGGCAGGGGCGGCCGGGCCTTGGGCCGAGGAGGGGGAGGGGGCCGCCCGGCTCCGCGCCCGCCCCTCCCCCGCCTCCTCCTAACAAACTTTTCTTTCTCTTCAAGTTGAGGCCGGCGCTTCAGGCAGCGGCGGCTGCGCGGCGAACCAGGCGGCCTGTGCGCCGGAGCGCGGAGCCCCGAGTTGCGGCTCGGTCTGGTCCGCGGAGCCCCAGGCCCGGGAGCCGCACGCGGCCCCTGCCTCGGCCCGGAGCTTCCCGGGACGGATGGCGCGGGCCGAGAGAAGCAGGCGGCTGTGAGCCCTGCGCGGGCCATGGCCTCGGCGGCGTGCGGGGCGCCGGGCCCGGGGGGTACAGGACCCGGGGGCGCGCTAGGCAGCCAGGCCCCCTCCTGGTATCACCGCGACCTGAGCCGCGCCGCCGCCGAGGAACTGCTAGCCCGGGCGGGCCGCGATGGCAGCTTCCTGGTCCGAGACAGCGAGAGCGTGGCGGGGGCCTTCGCGCTCTGTGTGCTGTGAGTGGGGCAGGGGGGCGGGGGCATCGTCCTATGTGAGTGGGGGGACAGGGTCGAGTGACTGGGCGCTGGGACAGCAGCCCCGCCTCCAACCCCAGTTTAGGGGCCTCGGCTTTATCCTGGGGCTGAGGAAGGATACAGAGGACACTTCCTTCCTGTTGTGTCTGGAAACACTTTCTAGGGCCTTGAGGACCGAGTATGTGGGCTTGTGTGGCCAGGGTGTTTGTGATGGGGAGAAGATGCAGGTAGTCCCTGGGGGACCGCCGCAAGCGAGCCTCCCGTAGAACCGATGAGGCTGTGCATTCCACGGAGAGTGCAGTTCTGTTCCTGTAGGGGAGGAGCGGAGGGCAGTGGGGACACTTAAGGCAGAGGCTGTGAGGACGCCCAGTAGCTTTTCTAGAGGTTCATCTGTGCTCCCAGGAAGGAACAGCTTGAGGTCTGCCTGGCTGTGTATGGCTGGGGTGAGGGTTGCTGTTGAGAAGAAGGCTGGGGTTTGCTGTAGGGAGCCATGCCATTATTTCATGAATCAGTGAGTGGAGTGTGGCTGACTCTGGCCTTGAGTCCCAGTGATTTGGCAGCTCTAGCCCTGAGCCATGAGTGCTGAGTGTGGAGCTAGACTTGGCAGTTCTGAGTGGGTCTGTCCTGTGGCCATAACCTGTTAGCAGTGTGTTAGAGGTGCTGGGTGAGTTTGTACTTTCAGTTTTGGAGTCTTCCTCCTGACCTGTACAGGCTGCCTCACAATCGGACACTGAGTGGCTTCTTTGGGCCTCTGGGGTGGGAATAAGTGACTGGAAAGCTTCCATTCCAGAGCTGCTTTGTTCAGATCTCCTTGTGTTCTTTAGCCCTACAAACCCCCTTCCCAAACTCCTGTCCCTTAACTTTCTGCATTTTCCTGACAACCTTGCTTGGTATATTGGCTTAGACCAGGGGAGACAGTTTGATTATCATGGCTGAGATGGTGCTGGTGGCATATAGGGAGTAGAGACGCTAAAGTGCCAACAGTGCCCAAGATATTTGCTATCCAAAATGTCAGTAGTGCAGAGGCTGAGACAGTCAGGCTTAGGCCTTTGATATGGTGAAGAATGGGTCCTCCTGTAAGTCTCAGCTTCTGCTCCAACTCTGGGGTTCAGTGCAGGGAGACTCAAGAGGGACATCATAGGTCTGTGAATATCCCGGGAGGCCTACTTCCCAGCTCCCTCTGAGGCATATCCCCTAATTAGGAGGGGATGGAGGCAGGTGCTAGGTCAGCTGTTGAATAGTGGGGGGAACAGCTGGGGCTTGTATCTGGTGAGGAACATTATTGTCCCATTAAGGGGACAATCCTGGCTTGAGAGGTCTGTTAGGGTGGTTAATAGGAAGGCAGGCGGGTGGTGTTTGGTTTTCCTAGCTGACTGTGCCTGCTCCCTGTATCTTAGGAACCTGAGGTAGGAATAAAAAGTGGGTGGAGTCTTAGATTTGCCAAACAAATACATACTTGCTTACCTATATACACACTGTGTGTACATGAGTAACACTCAAGACACACCTCTACCCCGAAGGACACAGGCAGTCTGACAAGCCCAGGTTATGGACCCTGGCATCTGCCCTGGTTTTAAATCCCAGCTCTGCCTTTTGCTTGCTCTGTGACCTTGAACAAATTGGTTTTCTTTTTTGGGCCTCAGTTTCTCCATTTGAACCGTGGGGGATGATAATATATGCTTCAGAATGAGAATTAAATGAGATCAGTAGGACATTGACTACCCAGCCTGCCACAAAACTGGGGTGCTATTATTATTAATGGGATGCTATTATTTCAAACATGGACCCACAGTATAAAACACCCAGCACAACACCCAAGAGAGCTGCTGACAGCTAAAATGAGGGAAGAGGATGGCCTTGTGGTATTTTGTCCCCACTGAGGCCAGCACCAGCTTCCTGCCGAGCACACAGACAGGCCCTGGGGCCTTTGAGGTGTGGAGGCAGAGAGCCTTCCATCCCCCACTGAGTGTGCCTGGCTCAGCTGTCACCTGCTCAGCTGCTGCTGCCATCTGTCAGCACCCTTCTTGCCCCTCCTCAGCTTGGGGTTCCTAGAAGCTGGGTCTCCCACAGGGGGCTTCCGTGGGTCATGCCAATTTCCTAATGTCAGGGGTTGAGGTTAAGCCATAGGGTTATGCTCCCACAGTCACCAGCAAAACTGCCTCAGACACAGCCAGCTCCAGCAGAGCCAGACACTAACATAAACACAGACAGAGGCTCACATGTGTGTTAGCACATTGCCCATGAACGCAAACAGGCTAACCAGAATTCTGAGGACTCTTATTTTGGCGGGGGGCCCAGACTAGTACCACAGCCCAGAGGGGCTGTTTGGACAGCTGTGGAGGCCACAAAAGAGCTGCCTGTTGCTTCCCTGGCCCTGCAGCTTCCCTGAGCCTGCAGCCCTGTGGTGGGTGTGGAGTCTATGTAGGTCTAGGGGAAGGGTGGAAGTTACCGGCCCCATCATTAATCCTGTGCAGCTTGGGCAGAGTGGTTTTAAGGAAACCAAGCTGAGTGGGCAGGAGAGTTGAATCTGATAGCAGGAGTAGGATGTATTTTGGAGGTCAGACCAGCTTGGGGGTGACAAGTTCTGACCCCTGCCTTGTTATCAGGTATCAGAAGCATGTCCACACATACCGTATTCTGCCTGATGGAGAAGACTTCCTGGCTGTGCAGGTAGGAGCTTGAACCTTTGACCCCTGACCTTGATTGAGCTAGTGGCTTGGGGACCTTCTGGCTGACCCTTCCTTCCATTCTCCTGGCCTTCAGACCTCACAGGGTGTGCCAGTGCGCCGCTTCCAGACGCTGGGCGAGCTCATTGGCCTGTATGCCCAGCCTAACCAGGGCCTAGTGTGTGCCCTGCTGCTACCTGTAGAGGGCGAGAGAGAGCCGGACCCGCCTGATGACCGGGATGCCTCAGGTGCTGTCCAGTGAGCAGTGTGCACATACATCCCTTCCTTGCCCCACCCTGACTCTACCTGCTACTTCCCGTCCTAAGCCCCTCTTTCCCTTACTCATTTTGCCCCCGCCCTTTATCCTCTTCCACGAAAGTCTCTGGTAGCCATGGTGTTTTCCCCTGCCTCATACCAAACTGTTGCCCCATTGACCCTTGTCCACAGATGGGGAGGATGAGAAGCCCCCGCTGCCCCCACGCTCCGGCTCCACTAGCATTCCTGCCCCCATGGGGCCCAGCAGCCCCCTGCCATCCCCTGAGACTCCCACAACTCCAGCTGCTGAAAGGTGAGAATACCTAACCCCTGCTCTGCTGAGCAGAAAGGCCCTTTCTCTCCTGAGAACTGTTTCCCTGTCAGAGACTGGGAAACGCCCTCCCCAGGGACGGGTTGAGGTGCTGAGATAGGGTCGCTAGGACCTCACTAACCCTAACCTCTTCCCAAAGTGCTCCCAATGGGTTGAGCACCGTCTCCCACGAGTATCTGAAGGGCAGCTACGGGCTGGACCTGGAGGCTGTGCGGGGCGGAGCCAGCAACCTACCCCACCTCACCCGTACCCTCGTCACCTCATGCAGGAGGCTGCACAGGTAACTGACCTGTGACCCCAGGTACCACACTCTGGCCTCTGACCCTGAACAGTGACCTAGCCACTGCTTTCTGACTTCCTCTCCTGTGCCCTGGTGTCCTCATGCCAAGGTGGAAGTGCCCTGCCCAATGTTGCCCTCTCTGGACTGAAGCTGGGTTGGGTAGTTCTGACCTGCTGTCTCCCTTAGTGAGGTGGACAAGGTACTGTCGGGCCTAGAGATCCTGTCCAAGGTGTTTGACCAGCAGAGCTCACCCATGGTGACCCGCCTTTTGCAGCAGCAGGTGGGACTTAGAGAGGCCTTCAGGAGGTGGGCTTGTGGTCTGCACCTGGGTGGGGGGTTCTGCCTAGGAACCTTATGTGTAAGCTTTATTCCATCCCTTCAGAGCCTGCCACAGACTGGGGAGCAGGAACTGGAGAGCCTGGTGCTGAAGCTGTCAGTGCTGAAGGATTTCCTTTCAGGGATTCAGAAGAAGGTAGACTAATCCCCCATCCGACTCCTGACCCTCCAGTCATTGACCGCTCCCCTTGCCCTAGTCCGGATCTCAGCCCTGAACCTCTAGCTTAGCACTGACCCCAGCATCATCTGTCTCCTCGCTGTCAGTGTGTCCCCTGACCTCACCCTACCCTTGCCCAGGCCCTGAAGGCACTACAGGACATGAGCTCAACAGCACCCCCGGCTCCGCTGCAGCCATCCACGAGGAAGGCCAAGACCATTCCTGTGCAGGCCTTTGAGGTACATGGCCCGAGGGCCCTTCCTGGGCAGAGGGCGGTTGGAGGTGAAGGGGTTGCTGCCTGCCCCACAGTCTTGTCAGCAGCCTCCCCAGCTCCTGTCCTGCAGGTGAAGCTGGATGTGACCTTGGGTGATCTGACAAAGATTGGCAAGTCACAGAAGTTCACATTGAGCGTGGACGTGGAGGGCGGGCGGCTAGTGCTGCTGCGGAGACAGCGGGACTCCCAGGAGGACTGGACAACTTTCACGCATGACCGCAGTGAGCCGGGACCAGACCTGGGAGAAGGGAATGGTAGGCCTGAGGGCACAGACTTGTGTGACCTGTCCTTCTTCCTCTAGTCCGGCAGCTGATTAAGTCCCAGCGTGTCCAGAATAAGCTGGGCGTTGTGTTTGAAAAGGAGAAGGACCGGACCCAGCGCAAAGACTTCATCTTTGTCAGCGCCCGGGTGAGCAGCAGGCTGGGCCTGACTGGGGATTGCTGGGTCCCTGCTAGGTGTTTCCCATTGGATGAGAGCAGAGGGAACCCATGGCGTGGGCATGTCATGCCTCCTGGCAGGGGTGAGCCTGACAGGGTAGAGAGGGTATTGCGAGTGAGTGGCCTGAGGGTGGATTCAAATACTCATTCACTGAGCACCAGTTATATGCTTGAGCAATGGATGTTCAATGGGGAGCCAGGTAGCCATGACCCTCCCCTCACAGTACTGCCATCTAGCAGGGTATCCCTGTGGAAGTCATGGGTGGTGTTCCCGGCTGCCTACCTGCCCCTGACTGGCTGCTTTCCCCTCAGAAGCGGGAGGCCTTCTGCCAGCTGCTGCAGCTCATGAAGAACAAGCACTCCAAGCAGGATGAGCCCGACATGATCTCAGTCTTTATAGGCACCTGGAACATGGGTCAGGCCCAGGCTGGGGCAGTGGTGGGACGGGGGCCAGTCCCAGGGCAGGGGCCTGACCCCTTCATTCCCTCCACCTCTAGGAAGTGTGCCGCCTCCAAAAAACTCCACATCTTGGTTCACATCAAAAGGTCTGGGGAAGACCCTGGATGAGGTCACAGTGACTATACCCCATGACATCTATGTTTTTGGGACCCAGGAGAACTCTGTGGGTGACCGAGAGTGGCTGGACCTGCTGCGCGGGGGCCTCAAGGAGCTTACGGATTTGGATTACCGCCCGGTGAGGGGGTGCATCTCATCCGGTCCCCTTTCCTCACTTTATGGATGACCCTGGGGAGTGCAGCTTGACTGGCTTCCCCTCGGGTCCCTGGGCATAACTTCTGGGAGCTCAAACCTAAGTCCTTCATGCACAGAAGGGCGTGTTTCTCTCTGGCCTCTCAGGATAAGGCTTCCTACCCTGTACTGACAAAAGAGTCCAGGTGAAGGGCCAGGGGGAATTGGACAGGGGCCCCAGGCAAGAGTGACCCCACCTCCTCTACCCAGATTGCCATGCAGTCACTGTGGAACATCAAAGTAGCTGTGCTGGTCAAGCCAGAGCATGAGAACCGCATCAGCCATGTCAGTACGTCCAGCGTGAAGACTGGCATTGCCAACACCCTGGGTGAGCAGGCCAGGCAGGCTCCAGAGGGAGGTGGGGTCCCTCTGCCCATGCCTTTTGCCTCCTTCAGCCCAGAGTCTCCCCTTTGGTGGTCTCAGGTTTCCCATGTATAAGGTACTTTAAACTTTGTAAAGCATAAATTCATATTCTAAATTTCTTCCAGCCCTACCAGGAAGGCAAGGCCAGGATAATTATCCCCATGTCACAGATGATAAAACTCAAACCCAGAGTGGTTGAGTGACATGCCCAAAGTCACATAGCAAGTAAGTAGAGGAGCCAGGCATAGCGCCCAGGTCTCTTGATTTGCAGTCCAGGGCTTCTGCAGTGTAGAGTGCTCAGAATCTGTGCTCTTGGGATTTCCCTGTGATCTCCTGGGCCTCTGCTCACACAGACAGACAGACTCAGGGCATCTAGACAGACTACATGGGCAGGTGTGAGTGTGCATGCAGAGAGAGGCCTGCTTGCCTCATAGCATCAAGTAGGAAGGATCCCCTTACTGCTTCTTTGAGGGGTAGAAGGGAAATTGGGAGCCCTCTGTGGGTGACCCAGGCCTTCCTCTTTTGCTGTCCCCAACAGGGAACAAGGGAGCTGTGGGTGTCTCATTCATGTTCAATGGCACCTCATTTGGCTTTGTGAATTGCCACCTCACCTCGGGAAATGAGAAGACTGCCCGGTGAGGGACACCTTCCCAGTAGTCTCCTTGTCCCTTCCCTCACTTTGCCTGCGATCTGTTCCCTCTCCTGTATTCCAGTCATTATCCCCCTAGGTTCCTGTCCCCAGAGAGCCCTTCTGCTTTATCCCAACTCAGGACCCCTCTGTCTACTCCTAACCTAACTCTTCCCACTGCCCCCAGGGACCCTTATCCCTACCCTGTCCGTGACACCTGAGACTTCTTACCTTTATCTCCTGACTCTGAAGACCTGACACCCATTCCCACTGTAGGCGGAATCAGAACTACCTGGACATCCTGCGGCTGCTCTCGCTGGGTGACAGGCAGCTCAGTGCCTTTGACATCTCTCTGCGTTTTACTCACCTCTTCTGGTTTGGGGACCTCAACTACCGTCTAGACATGGATATCCAGGTACATGCAGAGCCCTGTGGGTGGCTGTAGAAAGGCTAGAGGTTAAAAGGGATGTTACCCCAGCTCTGCTCAGGAGACAAACATCCAGTGCCTGTGTCTCCCACTGCAGGAGATCCTGAACTACATCAGCAGGAAGGAGTTTGAACCCCTGCTCAGGGTAGACCAGCTCAACTTGGAGCGGGAGAAGCACAAGGTCTTCCTTCGATTTAGTGAGTAGGAGCATGTGGTTCTTGAGAGCCCCGGAGGCTTGAAGTATTCCTGGATCTGTGGGACCCTGAACCCATTGTGTCCTCTGCTCTGCTTAGGTGAGGAGGAAATCTGCTTCCCACCTACCTACCGTTATGAACGAGGTTCCCGGGACACATACGCCTGGCACAAGCAGAAGCCAACTGGGGTCAGTTAAAAAAAATGGAGTGGAGTGGGCTTTGGGCGATCCCCAGGCCTGCAGTAAGTCAGAAGTGTGTGTGTGGGGTGTCAACAATGTGGCCTCCCTGAAGCCTTAGGATGGTCCTGGGTATTGTGGGATCCAAGGAGGGAGGTGGGTGCTGGGTTCCAGTATAATGGAAGTGTGAGACCTTATTAGCTTGGGGTGGGGCTCATGCTAAGAAAGAGCTTGTGCTCAGCTCTCACTTCTGACCGTGCTGCAAACCCCTGCTTTAGGTCCGAACCAATGTGCCCTCGTGGTGTGACCGGATTCTATGGAAATCCTACCCTGAAACCCACATCATCTGCAATTCCTATGGTCAGAGCCTCCCAAACAGGGTGACGGGAGATCATGGATGGTCACTGTTCTGACTCCACCCTCATTTTGGGAGGTGGGAGCAGAAAGTAAGGAAATTTCCCCTGAACATTCATTCCTGTCCGCATGCCCAGGTTGTACGGATGACATTGTCACCAGCGACCATTCCCCTGTGTTTGGAACATTTGAGGTTGGAGTTACCTCTCAGTTCATCTCTAAGAAAGGTAACCATTTAGAATGTGGTTGGGATGTTGGCAAATATCTGGGTGGGCATAGGCGATGGCATAGGAATGTGCATAGTTTGGGCTATGCATAGTATATATGTGTGTTTGAGTATACACACGAGCATGTGAGTGTTTCAGAATATGTGATGTGCGAGGGTGTCTGTGGACCTCGATTGGCATGAAGGGTACGAGGCCATGTGTGTCTACATGCGTAAATGTGAATGTATCGATATCTGTATCTGCCTGGGTCCTCATGTGTGCCCTGGAGTATGCCTGGAGGTGTGGCATTGTTGGCTGGCAAGCCTATGGGCATTTGCCACCCCCCCCCCCCCCCCCGTGACTTGGGTCTTTCATTCTTGCCCCTTCCAGGGTCTGCACTTTAGGGTATTGGTGGCTTAGCATTGGGAGGTCCCTCTTCATCTTCCCTTCTGCTCTGCCAGGGCCCCTGATTTCTTGTCTCAGGGCTCAGCCTTTCCGTCCTATTCCTCCTTGGTTCCTCTTAAGCCCTCTCAGCCTTTCTGTCTGCAATTCCTCCCTTCTCCCACAGGGCTCTCAAAGACTTCAGATCAGGCCTACATTGAGTTTGAGAGCATCGAGGCCATTGTGAAGACAGCCAGCCGCACCAAGTTCTTCATCGAGTTTTATTCTACTTGCCTGGAAGGTCAGAGGCGGAGTGTGGGGCTGAGGGTGGGCCAGGGAGGGCAGGAGGCCAGAAGCAGCCCTGAACAGTCAGCCCCCAATTTGGGAGGAAGGAAAGCTGGGAAGTGGGTCTCAGTTGGGTTTTCCCCACCCCTACCCCAGAGTATAAGAAGAGCTTCGAGAATGATGCCCAGAGCAGTGACAACATCAACTTCCTCAAAGTGCAGTGGTCCTCACGCCAGCTGCCCACGGTGAGGCTGCAGGCAGGGCCCACGCTTATGGGTGAACGCACAGGGAGGAGGGAGGCAGAGGACACTGGGAAGCCTGGGTCGGGGGGAGGATGGGCAGAGCTGGCAGGGCCTCTGTGTGTGTGTGTGTGTGTGTGTGTGTGTGTGTATGATGGCTGGGCATGAGTGAGGATCAGGACATTTGCATTATTTAAAAGGTGTGGAGGACCAGGGATTTAGCTCAGTGGTGCTGCCCCCTGCCTCAAAAGTGCATGGTCCTGAGTTCAATCCCCAGTACCCCCCCCCTCCACCCCCACCACCCCCGGCCAAAAAGGTGTGGAATCAAGTTGCAATTTGTTGATTTGTTCAGTAAATACTTCTGGAGCCTGAATGTCAGGACCTGTATTGGCCATTGAGGATGCAGAAAATTACTTAATTACAGTGATGTTAAGTGCTGTAAAAAGCCCACACTGGGCTGTCTTCTACGTTAAGGATTTGGGAACTTTCCTTTAGAGTTGAGCGCAAGTGAGCAAAGATGAGCCCAAGGGCAGGGAGTGAGTTGTGTCAGGGGCAGTATGCAGAAGGACACTTGGGTGGTTGGGCTTCATTCTTCCCTGGGCCTCTCTGCTCCGCAGCTCAAGCCAATTCTGGCTGACATTGAGTACCTGCAGGACCAGCACCTCCTGCTCACTGTCAAGTCCATGGATGGCTATGAATCTTACGGTGAGGGGCAAAGGGTACTGAGGGGTACAAGAAACCAGGCAGGGAGGGCCCTAGGAAAGTATGGCAATTCCCTGGTCTGTCCTATCTCCCCCTTAGGGGAGTGTGTGGTTGCACTGAAATCCATGATTGGCAGCACGGCCCAGCAGTTCCTGACCTTCCTGTCCCACCGCGGCGAGGAGACAGGCAACATCCGTGGTTCCATGAAGGTTCGGGTGCCCACAGAGCGTGTGGGCACCCGTGAGCGGCTCTATGGTGGGCTCCATGAGGGGGTGTGCCGAGCATGAGATGGGGATGTGGGGTGGGGTGTAGGAGGGGACTCAGGGCCGGCAGCATGTTGGAATCCCAGGACACTGGAGGTTTTATAGCTATGGCTGGGAGTGAGTCTGCCCTGAGGAATAGCTGGGAAGGGGCTGGCAGGCATAGTGTGTGTCTCTGGGGTCCAGGATCCCAGGTCCTCTCTTACATCTCCCTTTTCTATTCCCCTTCCTCCCCAGAGTGGATCAGCATTGATAAGGATGAGGCAGGAGCGAAGAGCAAAGTCCCCTCTGTGTCCCGAGGCAGCCACGAGTCCAGGTAAGCTAGGTCTGTATTGGGTATCCCATGGAAGAGTGGGTGGGGGCTTCTGCCAGCCCCAGCTTCATCTCTGCTGTGTACCCCTGGCAGGCCAGGGAGCCGCAAGCCAGCCTCTGCAGAGGCCTCCTGCCCGTTATCCAAATTATTCGAAGAGCCAGAGAAACCGCCACCGACTGGAAGGCCCCCAGCCCCACCCCGAACAGCTCCCCGGGAGGAGCCCGTGACCCCCAGGTGAGAGGGGGAACCTGTGTCCCCCACTCCATCCATCACTATGCCTGACTCTCAAGGTCAGCCTGGGGGTTGTCTGTTTGGATGCTCTGCCACCTGTGGCTGAAGGTGCTGCGGCTCTGTGCCTGAGGCCACTGTGGCCAGCCAGGCTTCCCCTAGGTTTGATTCTCTGAGTCAAAGAGAGCAAGATCAGCCTTTCCTCTCAATTCTCCTTTAAAACGTGGACGTAGAAATTGTTTTTAGAACAACAGCTCCCTCCATGTAGCAAACCCAGTGTAAGCCTTCTGTTACTGCTCAGTACAGGATTTCCTGGGTTGTCTCTCATGGGGCTCTGTCCTGTAGCAGCCTCCACTGGAAATGGGTTGGTGGTCAAATGAATTTGGGAAATGCCTCTTGCTGGATTCTTTTCTTAGATATTCCCGGTGCATATTAGTATTAGCGAAAGCTCAAGCATGTGGACAGGAAGGGAGCCTCTTCAACTCTGTTTAATATAGTTTCCCAAACTTAATGGACCAGGAAACTTCTTTCCCACACAGTAACTATTAATGTCCTGGGCTACTAGTGTTCTGTGCATCATACCTTGGGAAAGCCAGGTCTGCTCTCTGGTGCTATCTAGTTTTTGCTTAAGCTTAAAGAAAAGCCCTTATGTATAGATTGGTGTTTTTTCACTCGTCTTCAGCTATTATCATTCACCTTGGTTTCATCCTTATGCTTGAGTAAAACCATCTCAAATCACTAAGATGCTGCAGTAGACTGACTTCAGATGTTTTGGAAAGCATTCCAAATGTCACTTGTCACTCTTACTGGAGACCTTTATTGCTCTGCCTCTGACACCTCTGGCTTTCTTTTTTTTTTTTTTGGTACCAGGGATCGAACTCAGGTCCTTGCAGTTGTACAGCAGGCGGGGAAACCACTGAGCTAAATCCCCGGCTCCTCACACCTGTTTTTACCCATTTAAGCTTGGGTTTATGCAAAGTCATAAAAGATCTGAGAATCCAAGTGAGGCAAGGGAGTTCAGGTTATTTATGCCTTCAACCCCTCTCCCTTTATTTTTTATACCCACATAGACACACACACACACACACACACACACACACACACACACACGTGTATATATGGTTTGTTTTTTGAGACAGGGTCTCGCTGTGTAGTTCAGGCTGGCCTTGAGCTCACTATGTAGCCCAGGGTGGCCTTAAGCTCTCGGCAATCCTCCTGCCTCAGCCTCCTGAGTGCTGGGATTACAGGCATGTACCACCTCCCTTGCTCCCCCCAACTTTAGAGATAATGAAACCAAGGGCGGGAGAGGGCGAGTGTTGTGTTCAAGGTCACATGCAAGTCTAGGCCCAGAGACTCCTCTTCTTACTGTTGCCCAGTTCTCCCTCTACACCCATTGAGTTCATCTTGAGTTTTGAGGTCCTAACTTTGTCACCCTCCTCCCAAATCTAGGTTGAAGCCAGAGGGGGCTTCTGAGCCAGAAGGGGTGGCACCCCCCCCACCCAAGAACAGTTTTAATAACCCTGCCTACTACGTCCTTGAAGGGGTGCCGCACCAGCTGCTGCCCCTGGAGCTGCCCTCGCCTGCCAGGGCCCCTGTCCCACCTGCCACGAAGAACAAAGTGGCCATCACAGTGCCTGCTCCACAGCTTGGACGCCACCGGGCCCCTCGTGTAGGAGAGGGAAGTTCATCAGATGAGGACTCTGGGGGCACGTTGCCCCCTCCAGACTTTCCTCCTCCACCACTGCCAGACTCGGCCATCTTCCTAACCCCCAGCCTGGATCCTTTGTCAGTACCAGTAGTCAGGGGCCGTAGTGGGGGTGAGGCCCGTGGCCCACCACCTCCTAAGGCCCACCCGAGGCCTCCACTACCTCCAGGTCCTTCACCTGCTAGCACTTTCCTGGGGGAGGTAGCAAGTGGGGATGACCGGTCTTGCTCAGTACTACAGATGGCCAAGACACTAAGTGAGGTGGATTATGCTCCCGCTGGGCCTGGGCCTGGGCCTGGATGCTCAGTGCTTCTCCCTGGCCCCCTGGAGTTGCAGCCATCCCGAGGGCTGCCCTCAGACTATGGCCGGCCTCTCAGTTTTCCTCCACCCCGGATCCGAGAGAGCATCCAGGAGGACTTGGCAGAGGAGGTGTGTGCACCTGAGCATGGTTCTCAGACTGGTATCCTTTCAGCTGGCCATTTAGCATCTGCCCTGAGCTCAGCACTGGGGGCTGGGAGGGCCACGTGAATCAGCCCTAGTCCTTCCTCCCTTTCCCTCAGGGCGTGAGTAGAATGGCTTTCTGCTCATCCTAATGTGCCCTGTTTTCTCAGGCTCTGTGCCCGCAGGGCGGGCGGGCTGGTGGCGGCCTGGGTGAGGCGGGCATGGGTGCCTGGCTGCGGGCCATCGGCTTGGAGCGCTATGAGGAGGGCCTGGTGCACAATGGCTGGGATGACCTGGAATTTCTCAGGTTGGGGGGAGACTGGAGGAGGATGGAGTGGGTGGCCCCAGGGGTGGAGCTCTGGGCCCTTGGGCAACCACTAGAGCCCATCTTCTGCCTCTCCCACAGTGACATCACTGAGGAGGACCTGGAAGAGGCTGGGGTCCAGGATCCAGCTCACAAGCGCCTCCTTCTGGATACCCTGCACCTCAGCAAGTGACAGTGGAGGCCACATCAAGCTTTGAACTCAGCACCGTTCCCCATCTACGAAGGACCAGGGGCACCCCTGGTGTTGAAAAGTTATAAGGAGCGGAGTAGTATCTCTATTTATTGGGGATCTGTGTCCCCCATGGCCCAGTCATACCCTGATAGGACATCCCAGCCTACCCATCTTTTAGACCCGACCCGGGCTGCAGATGTCAGTAGCCTGCTGTGGTAGCAAGTAAAGTGCCCTTGGTTACGGGTGCAGTCTTTCTCGACCCCTCCCGGCCCTGGGGGTTCATGTAGGGCAGTTGGATATATCTGGTTCCCTCCCTCCGCCCCACCCTCCCGTTTTCACTGAGGTTTCTGCTACCCTCACTGGGCCTCAGCCACAGGGAAGAGTTCTTTCAGGACTCCTCCAACTCCTGCTCCCAGGATATCCGTCCGGAAATGAAGGAAGCCCAAGGACCGGGCTGGGGTTTATTAAGCTTTTCTGTGTGGGTCTGGGGAGGGAGAACGACTTAATGTTATTGGGGGGAGGGCAGACCTTGGCCATAAAGTACGTTTGCTTATTTCTTGCTGTCTCCTTGTCTGTACCACTTGTGGTCCGGAGGGTCCCCAGCTGATATCGACGACTACAGGAGGTAGCTTGTCCCTGTCCTGGGCACTGGGGTTGCTGACGTTGATGTCTTCAATAAATTAAGTTTTATTTGGATTGAGCAAAATCACCTCAATAAATTACAAGTTTTCAAAGAAAAAGAACAAAAAAAAAATCAGGAAAAAAATGTTCCCCGCAGCACCCTCGCCCCCCACTGCCGACAAGGCCACCCTCTGTGCTAGGGGTGGGAGGACCTGGAGGGAGGGCTGGGCGGTGGGGCCCCTCACGCTGCTGATCATCCCGGCAAAAATCAGCCTTGGCGCCTTGTAGGGGGCGGTGTCGGTGGGCTGGGGGTGGGGCAGCGGATGCTCGAGGTCACCAGGGTTAGGAATGACCCAGCCAGCTGCGATGTCCCGGGGAGGGCACCTTGCTGCTCCTCAGGAACCCTTGTGTTTGGGCACTACGTGAGGAACAGGTGTTACTTGATCCTGGTTTCAAAGAAAGCCAAGCTAGCAGGGGCTCCGGCTCTCCCCGGGGTCCGGGGGAAAATGACTCGGCTCTGCTGGGTGTGGGTGGGAGGACGAGAGTGGCCCGACTTGGTTTCCAAAGCTGGGGAGGGCGCACCTGGGATCAGACAGTGGGCTGTGGGGACGGATGAGGGCATAGAGGCAGGGAGCGGGGATAGAGGGATTCTGTCGGGTCCTGGAGGAGCAGGGTGTCTGGGGGCAGGCTCGGGGCCTCCGGGGGCTGGCGGCTAGAAGAGATTGGTCTTCAGGGCAGGGCCGGGCTTCCTGTGAAAGGAGGACAGAACTCCCGAGAAGGGCCCCGGCCCGGGCTCCGTTGGCTGCCAGGCCTTCAGTAACTCGGCCGCGCCGCCGCCGGGTCCACCGCCCCCGCCGCCCGCCACGCCGGCCCACAGCGCGCCCTTGAGCGGCTGCGGCCCTGGGCCGGGTCCTGGCCCGGAGCCCAGCGCAGCGGGCAGCGGGCTGGGGCTCAGACGTGGGCTGGCCAGGCTAGGCGCAGGCGGCGGCGGCAGCGACGCGGTGCTGTCGGGCGTGGGGCTGCACGTGGACTCCTTGGAGTCGTCGTCCTCGGATGAGCAGCGCGCTTCACCCTTCTTGGCTCCCGTCGGGCCCGCCGAGCCCTTGGCGCTGGCTGCGCGCTCTTGTTTTCGGAACTTGGCGCGGCGGTTCTGGAACCAGACCTGTGGGCACAGGGGCCAGTCAGTCCGGGCAAGGGTCGGAGAGTGCACAAGGGGCCGGAGAAGCAAGTGACACTTAGTTCCGGAAAGGGTCTGGCTGGATTATTAGCAGTTCGAGAGGTCCAAAGGCTTTGAGTGTTGGCCCCTCAGTCCTCCATCACTCGGTAGCCTGCTGTCTTCCCTACTCTCCTCCACTTGGCCTGTTCTCCAGGCCCTTGGGATTTTGGTCTTAGGATCTCTTCATCCATGAACCCCGCTGCCTACCATTATTCTGGGTCTCTACCTTTATTCTCCTTACCCTAAAACCTGCACACCAATTCCCTCTTAGGAAACCGGAGAGATCTGCCTGGTGCTGGGACGTGAGAGGAGTGGATTGGGGTCCGAGAGAAAGTTTATGTCCAGGGTCTCCAGTCAAAATCGACCAAGTAAACAGAGGATCTGAAATCCCTGGCCAACTCTCCTGGCTCTGCGCCAGCCCCCAGCCCCCAGCCCCCAGCTCAGGCTACCCGGGCTCAAGAGTTTCTTGGCTGTAGCGGCTGTAGCGCTGGGGAGGGCACCTGGAAGTGCTGGCTGCACACCTCTCTCCTCCTCCCAGGGCCCTCACTCTACCCACAAGGCTGCCTAGTCCAGGCTTCTTCACTAAAATCCCGAACCTCCAGCTCTAGGAAGAAGGGAGGGAGGGAAGCGAGAGCGTAGCTAAACAGTTGGGGTCTCCTGAGAGCCCGTCTCCCGGAAGCCTCCCCTGGCTGCCAGGCCACACCTGGGCTGTGCCCTGGTTACTGGCCCCTAGATCCTGTCGTTGACCCCCAACTGTGACCTCCAGTAGCCCCCTCCACGCGTGTGTGCGTATACACACACGTGCATACACCCACCTGCACGCGAGCCTCAGTGAGGTCTATTTTGAGTGCCAGCTCCTCCCGCGTGTAAATGTCCGGGTAGTGCGTCTCGGCGAAGACGCGCTCCAGCTCTTTGAGCTGTGCGCTCGTGAACGTGGTGCGGATGCGCCGCTGCTTGCGCTTCTCATGTAGGCCTGATGGCTCCGGGAAGAACTTGTAGGGCACTGCGGGTATTGCCAGAGGGCAGGAGCAAGGAGAGGGGGCGTGAGAAGCTGAGCCCAGACCGCTGTGTCCCGCCCTACAGGGATCCCCCCCCCCCCCCCCCCCCCCGTCCCTGGCCTGGTCCCTCCGTTTGGTCCTCAGGGCCTCTGGCCAAGCGTTGCAGCCGGCAGTGGTGAAAGACGGATGGAGAGGAGACCTGGGGCTCAAGAACGGCTAGAAACCAGGACACCAGCATCTGATCCTCCAGCAGCCAATCCTCCACCTGTCGCTGGCTTTGCACCTTTCCCTCTACATGCCCCTACCCTTCTTCATTCCACCAGCCCCTCCTACCCTCTCCTCTGTGGGTCCTGTGTCTCTCCCTCAGCCCTCTGCCCGCCTGCTTTCAGGTCAGGTCCTGCTCTGTTCACACTAGCCCAGGATGGCAGCCAGCTCTCCTCAGCATTAGGCGTCTCTCCACTACCCAGTGCTGGGCCTTGAGACCATCCTGACAGGTCTCCTTCAGCCCTGCCACTGGCTCCCTGCTGTGTACAGATCTGGTCCCCTTGGTCCTACTCCTGGGGCCTCATTTCCTCAGCCGCACCTCAAATTCCTGGTTCCCACTCTCCTCCAGGTATCTTCTCCTGTTCCTCATCTTCACCTTTCTTCACCCAAATTTCGCTTCAGCTTTCTCCATCTGGATCACTCTTCTCTTTGCGCCCACTGAGAAGGGTTCTTATGTGTTTCCACCAAGTCTTTGCCCTTCTTCCTCCCAGGCACCTACTCTGTGTCCCGTGGCTCTTACATCTGTCCCAACCCTCCCTCACTCCCTTCCTGTACTCCACCCCATTCCCTACAGCCCCATAAGCAGTGTTTCTGATACTATTTCTGCGTCCCTGTCTCGAACCCTGGTTTAGGTTTCCACATGTTCCTTGGGGTCCCCTAACTCCATCTTTGTCCTATCTCTGCAGGTCCGCATCTCCCTTAACCCTTGTCTCCATTCCTGTCCTCATTTTCATTATCTCCATTTCTAATCTTTTTTGGTCCCTGTCTCTCATAATTCAGGTCCCACACCACCTGGTTCTTATCTCCATCCCCCAACCCTGGGTCCTCATTTCTTTCAGCGTCCCCAGTCTTTCCATTTACCCTCCTATCTTTCTGTGCCTTACCCCAATTGCCTCAGCCTCAGAGCCCCATCTCTCTGGAGCCCATCTGCCATCCCTGTTTCCCCAATCCTCATCATCATCTGGCCCAGGTGGCCAATCTCATCCCCATTCTAGTATGTGACTGCACCCTCCGGTTCTCATTTCCCCAAATCCAGGCACTCAACCCCCCTCCACTTGGGACCTCCAAAGTCTTCCCAGGAGAGGAGGAGATGAGGAGATTGGGTGGGGCAGGCTGGGACCCGAAATGAAGGGGTGGAGATGTTTGAGTGTCTCAGTGAGTTTGAGGGTTCCCACAGGGACATGGACCAAAGGGGTTACTTAGGATGGAGGAGCTGCCTTCTGAGTTCTGTAGGACTCTAGCTGGTAGTGTTGGGAAGGGGGGATGAAAGTGGTTTAATGAACGGGTCCCTTTTTCTGTGGCAATGGGAGCTGGATTTGCTAGTGCTGAAGGGTTTGGGCCCAGGCAGGATGGATCCAAGACTGGGCAGGAGGGGCCTGATGGTGCGAGGGCTCTAGGAAGGTTCCAGTCTGGAAGCACAGCTGCTTCAGGAGGCCTTCCTGGGGGTCGCACAGCACGTGGGGCAGGGGTGGTATTGATAGGGTCTGAATGGACTGAGCTGGGGGGTCTCTTCCAAGGATATGGGGCGATGGAGAGGTTTGGTGGTAGCTGGTCTTTGCAGGTGATGGAGGGCCTGGTGAGGGGCCAGGGCTGGACCTGAGGTTTATTTCCTTGACCCGAAGGGCACAGGATAGAGACTGGTAGAGAGAAAGAGGGACAGGAGGGATATGAGGGTGTGGCTCATCCCTGCCAAGTGGACCCTGATATTGCTGGAGGTCTCACAGGGTGCTGGTGGGTCTGGCCAGGGCAGGGATGGGGGCGGCTGCGGGGGACAGTCGCATTCACTTGCAGAATAGGGAAGGGACGAGGGGATCCGCAGGATTTAGAGGAGGGCTGGGCTGGGGCTATGCTCACCTGCCGAGTAGGGCGCGGGCTGGTGGTCGCGTAGGGCGCCAAGCGCACAGTTGGAGGAGCCGAGCGCAGGGCAAGGGGGCCCCGCCGCGGGGAAGGTAGGCCGCAAGGGGCTGTACTGGAAGCCGCCAGGCTGGCTGCAGGCGCCGAAGTCGCCGTAGGCGGACGCCTCCATGGCCGCCACGCACGAGTCGTACGAATTGAGGTAGGAGTAGTCCATCGGCCCGGAGGACGTGGGCCTGGCCGGGCCGGGGCCGGGTCGGGGTCCCGGCCGGGTGGAGATCGGGATGGAGGTTTCGGCGCCCGGCACCGAGGACCCGAGGCCGGCTCCGAGCACCCGAGTTTGCCCGCCCCGTCGCGGATGCACTGTGCCCGGGTGCAACGCAAGTGCAGCCCGGAGAGCCCGCGCGCCTTTTAAAGCGCAGGACCCCGCGGAGGGGGCGGGGCGGGGCGAGCTCTGCGGGGCGGGGCCTGGGCTGCCCAGACCCCGCCCCCAGCCACCCCGACCCCCACCCCAAGGGGTCTCTGACTCGCACTTCGGGCTCCCGAGGGGCGGGGCGGGGCTGCTCCGGATCTCGACCCCGGAGTCCCCATCCTGTCCTACTCCGGCCCAGACCTTCGGGGTCCACACCTCGTGCCAAGCGGGAAGGTCCCGACCTCATTCCTGGACCTCCCCACCTGCGGCCCCGAGGAGGAGAGAGACAGGCCCCGCGGCGCTGGTGTGAAGAAGTTAACTCAATTCTCCGGGATAACCGAGTTATCCGGCCCCTCAGCCCCGCCCTCGGCGAGGTCCCGTCCCGGCGGGGACGCGGAGGCTGATCCGGAGGGGGATGGACACGGGGACAGCCAGGGGCGGGGAGGGGAAGTGGGTACAGAGAGGAGGCAGAGACGGAGACAGGGCGAGGAAAGGAGGACGCCGCGATGGAGACGGGCACTGGAGGATCCAGGTACACAGATGGAGACGAGGACGAAACATGTGCAAGAGAAGGGCCGGGATGGACACGGGGACCAGGCAGGGACAGAGAAGCAGATGGGGACAGAGAGGGCTGGAGGAAGAGTATGAGGCAGGGAAGGAGATCGAGAAAGGGGAGGGATGAGGCCTGGACGGCAGTAGTGGCTGCGATGCGGAGCAGGAGAGAGAGGACAAAACACGGACAGTCGCCGCGAGACAGACACACGCAGGGGGCGGTCTCAGAGCGACAAGGCCGGGGACTGACAGCGAGGAGCAGAGGCTGAGGGCGGAGGAAAAGAGCCTGCAGGGAGCTGCGACCCGCAGGCGGGCTGAGCGCGGAGGGCCGAGGCGGCGGTGGAGGCCCAGAGGGGTGGCCCCACGGGCCCGAGGGGAGGTCGAGACCGAGATCTCTCCATCCTGACTTGTCCCCACGGCCACCCGAGCCTGCACTTTCAGGGTGCTGCTGGCCCCTCCTTTCCCTCTGCTCCTTTCTCTCCCCACCGCGTGCACGGGGTGTGACCTTTGGCCCAAGCTGTGTGCGATGGGTGTGTGGGGGGAGTAAGAAACCTAGAGCTCCCTTTCCTCTCCTTCACCCTCTACCTTTCTCCTCCCAAGTCCTCTGTTCTTCTCCGGGAAGACCAGGTAGGCTCAATCTGCTGCTGGCTACAGAGGTCCCTCCACGGATAGTCACCAGCTCTCCATGCTGTGGATAAGGAAACACACAGTCTTTCCCAAGAGAATGAGCAGAAACCCCTTCTGCCTCTGCAGCCCACCTGAGGGATGAAAGGAGCGTTTCCTCCAGGCCCCATATTCTCCGGTCCTTCCAGAGTCCTGGGGAGGAACTGGGAGAGGGGCAGTCCTTCTTACCAGCCAGAGTCCTCAGAGGTTCTTCTCCCCAAGTTCACCAGCATAGTGGGGCGCATGTCCCTCCTCAGGTCATCTATTGCCCTGGCCACACTGTTGCTTGACGCATAGGACTGTCTGTCCTCAATTTCTGTAAGTACTCCATGTAAGAGGATTTCTTTGAGGTATTTTCCCAAATTATTATTATTATTATTATTACTATTTGGCACCAGGGATCGAACTTGGGACCTTGCGCTTGCGAGGCAGGCGCCTGAACCACTGAGCTAAATCCCCAGGCCCTCCCAAATTATTTTTTAACCATTTTTTTTTTTGCGGTAAAATATACATGAACATTAAATTAGAAAAAAAACATCAAGTTAGCTGGGCATGGTGGGGCACACCTGTGTGCCCTTGAGCCGGTTTTTGTGACTGGTTTATTTCTCCTTGTATGAAGTCCTCAAGTGTGACCCTTGTGGTAGCCTACATCAGAATTTCTTTCCCTTTAAAAGCTGAATAATATTCTATGGTATGTATATATCCCCTTTTCCTTGTCCATTCTTCCACTGTTAGACACGTTGCTTCCATGTTTTAGCTGCTGTGAATAATGCTGCTATGAGTGTGGAGACACGAGGATCTCCTGGGGACTCTGCTTCAGTTCATTTGAGTATATACCCAAAAGTAGAGTTGCTGCATCATATTGTAACTCTACAGTATTTTTATTATTTGAGGAACTGCTATACTATTTCCTACAGAGGCTGTGCCATTTTATATTCCCCCAACAGTGTACAACAGTTCCAGTTTTCCATATCCCTAACAACACTTTTTTTTGGTACCAGGGATCGAACTCAGGCCCTTGCGCTTGTGAGGCAGGCGGCGGGACCACTGAGCTAAACCCTGGCCCCCTAACAACACTTATTATTTCCTATGTTTCTCAAATTATTTTTCAGGTCTAAACTTGTAGGGGTTGAGACCTGACAGCTCAAATGCTTCAACAGTTCTTCCCACTGGTTGTGTGAGGTGCACCTCTCTCCTTGGACACATCTGCAGGGAGCCCAGGGGATCTCAGAATTGGGGAATCAGATGGGACCACCACTATCCTAGACCCTTCAGTGGATTTCCATTGCTCATGTGATCAAATCCATGCTCCTTCTCTGGCTTGCATTGTAATCAGTGACAAAACTCCAGCCTGCTTTCCCCTCATCTTGGCTTTTTTTTTTTTTTTTGGTACCAGGGATCGAACCGGGGTCCTTGTGCTTGCAAGGCAGGCGGTGGAACCACTGAGCTAAATCCCTGGCCCTATCTTGGCTTTTTTTTTTGAGACAGGGTCTTGATAGGTGGCCCAGGCTGGCCTCCAACTCTCAATCCTATTTTCTCTGCCTTCCAAGTGCTGAGATTGCAGGCATGCACTACTGGCCACCATGCCTGGCATCATCTTGGCTTTTTTTTGCAGCCTTCATACACTCACTAACCTTTTTGTTCAGAGACGTTCTCTCTGGGAGGAATGCTCACCCCATTCTCTGTGTTTCTACCCCCTCTCCCTAATACCCAAACATTGGACCTGCTTTTTGGAAGCCTTTCTTGATGTTCCTAGACAAGGTTGGATGTCCCTGCTATGTCCCCTAGTACCTCCCTCTCTTTCAGTACTCAGGTTACCTTGCTAAGTGCAAGGTCTTAGGACAGAACTCTGTGCTGTTACTTTCTCCCTGCCTTACTGTAGTACCTGGAACATCCTAGAATACTGGTATCTGTGTTTCAAATGAGTGAATTAGTAGACTAACCTGAAATCTCTGCGCTGAAGAGTCCTACCCTTGCTTCCAGGGAAGGATTCCTCAACTTTGACTCCTACCCCCCCTTCCCCTGTTCTCTGAAGAGGAATAATTCTCCCCCTTCATCCTTCCACTCCCCATGAACAGGAAATTTCCTCCTTGGTGGGTCATCCTTTGGATGGAAAGAGTTCTCCTTCATCTGAGGAATTTGCATGTGGCCTTATCCCTTCCCCAGTGATAATGCTGACCAGCAGTAGGAGCACTTGAAACTTTCATGGAGGGACAAGCAAGGGTAGGAGGAGAGGAAAAGAGGCCCATTGCCGCTTCCATTCCTGGTTGCCACTGTCTCAGAGACCAGCATCTGGCCGTGTCATTCCTACAGTTTGGTCCTTGAGCCAGTAAGTTCCCTTCTGTCTAAACTGGTTTTAGTTGGTCTTCTGACAGTTGCAATTAAGAGTCTTGAACAATGCAATCTCTGAAGGCTTGACATCCTTACAAGAAATCAAATAGTGGTGCTTAGAAGTTTCACTGTAAAATGCACGTGACGGTGTGACAGAGTAGGGTGGGCAGAAGCTGGCCTTCTCACACCTCAGGACTGTGGACTGTGGACTGTGGAGTGTCTCCATATTCTTATGTTTAATCTAGTTCAAGTTGAATTTCTGTTAGTTCCAAACAAAGGAATCCACACAAACAATTGTTATAAGGTGTGTAATGATGCAGGCAGCCATTGGTACTTGGCCATTGGCATAGGAGATGAGAATCAGGGCGGAGGCAAGGTGGCTTCCTGAGAACTCCCATAAGAGAAGAAGATGGGCAGAGTAGGCAGACTCTGCAAGGACCCCACACGAGAGAGGCTGGTTGACAGTCTGTGGTGGGGAGACCTTTGTCCTGACTATGACATCCCCCAAATGTATATAATCCCAGGGGAATTAAAAATGCTTTGGTATGAAACACTGTCACAGCTATCTTGCTCAGAAGCCTCCTGGCCGAGGATGACATCTTCACTTCCAGGAGCCATGATGAGTTCTGGAGCCTGACTGCTGAGTCCAGCTCTGGCTGTGCCACCCCCAAGCTGAATGACTTAGGGTGAGTTACTCAACCTCTCTGTGCCTCAGTTTTCTCATCTGTAAATGTGCTATTTAAATGACTAGAGAGATTAAAACAAATAGTGTCTGGGCCGGGGATTTAGCTCAGTGGTTCCAGGGCCTGCCTCGAAATCGAAAGGTCCTGAGTTTGATCCCCAGTACCAAAAAAAAAAAAAATAGTGTCTGAATTAATGCCTGGTACACAACAAACATTAAGTAAATCAGCTTTTACCTTCACCACCACTATCTCTTCTCACTCTTACCAAGTGACTGGGCACAGCATAGCTGACAGACTCAGACCAGATCTGGCCAGACTGTGTTGTTCCTAGTTCCAGGGCCTGAGGCATCTTTATTCCTTTTTTCAAATTAATCGTTCAGCTCTTGATTGGATTTTATTACCCAACACATTCTTCTGTATGTTTAATCTAGTTCAAGTTGGATCTCTGTCAGTTCCAAACAAAGGAATCCACATAAACAATTGGTTTAAGGTATGTAGTGATGCAAATGGCAGGACCTAAGACATGGAACTGGTTCTGTTGATATTGAGAATGGATGCATGAGAATCCTTCCAATCCAAGCTAGGAAATGAGACATCCTGCTCAGGTGCTAATGAGGCCCTTGGAAAAATTACTGAATGTCTATTTGAACTTGACCAC